CCTTTGGGTTAGATAGCAAGTATGATGGTGACTCACTTACCTTCTAGTCATGAGTTCCGTCGATATTCCACACGGCCTTTGGACTCATGTAGGGCCGCCGTTGCTGACTCAGACCGCAGACGTGACAGGTAGCACATGCAAATTACCGAGTGGTTCCCGTTACGTTCGCTTTCAGGAACAATTCTTTCGGCTGATCTTCGAGTTGCTTGAATGCCTTTTCCTACCATGTCTACTGTCTTTTGAGATCTGCCTCCCTGACTTATAATTTGAGAACCTCGTTAGTGTATGCCCTTGTATCCTATAGGCCAGTTTCTAAAGACTATGAGGCGCTTGGACTTCAAATCCTTCCAAAAATTACCGTCAGGAGGTCTTTGGAAGAACAGAGTCCTAAAATACTATCGCTGTGCTTTGTCCGCAGTGGAAGCAGTCTTAATAATTGTCTTCTTGATTCCTCTCCGTGAACTCAGACGATAATGCGCTAATGAGGGAGACCATGTGTGCATTTGGAATTGATAGACCAACATTTTCGTTTTACGCATCGAGGGTAAGCATGGATCATCAGCAAATCCCATAGGTTGACAGCTTATTGTGTAAATGACCTGTGCTCTACATCACACGCCTGCAAATCTCTTGGCTTAGAAGGACGCATCTAAAAGTTCACTTCGCAGTCAACTTTTTTAAAATCTCCCATTCTTCATTTTAACCCTTTTTTCCTGATCGAATTTTACCTTTGTGGCATTCCAATCGCACGTTTAGGGACGAGGAGGTTCTGACAAATTTTAGTTTAGAATTCATCGTGACCTAAATACTTCCGTCTTAGAAACGCAAAAAATACCTTATACCAGCTGTAGTTAAAACAGAGTCATTTATCCTAGCGTATAAATTTGGCTGGGAATTTTGGCCTTCAAATCGCTGCTGTCATTCATCAGCTCAATATCCCGCTAAATCAAGAAACTCCTGCATGAAGGTAGGACATGAATAATTAGGAAAAGTTCTTTTCGAAGATATAAACGGGCTAGACGTCAATGGGCATTAAGATAAAGGCAAAATGGAAGATGAAAAAACTAAGTCGTTTGATGAATGAAAAGCAGAAATGTTCCATTTGTCGTTGTAGAACAAATTGGCCGTTTTGGGGAGACACTCGAAGAATGAGTCCGTAAATATCTAGCCCATGTTCAGGCAGCCGGCACCCTGGCCGAAACCGAATCCTTTGGGTCCGAACTGCTTACCGTAACAAGCTTAAAGAATAGTAGAAGGTAATTAACGAAAATTATATATTCTGCGCTCTAAGTAAGGATGTCCGGTGAGAAGCATCAATTATATGTTTCTACATCAGCAAACATCCCCAGGCTTCGGAAACATTAAAAATTAACTGCTAGCCTTACTATATAGAGGAGGGACGAAAAACATTTGACCGTCTCATTCTACAGTGGTCTGTTAAAATCCCGTGATGAAAATGATGCATGGGTGTCCAAGTGTGTACTGTTACAAGGTACCGCCTTCAAAATGACCTTGCACGTAGAATACAACGTCAATTTGACGCGAAGTTTATCTCTCAAGTGAGCATTTTTTTAAAAAAGACAGGAATACAGTTGGGCTTACTTTTGCAATAAATTTCGTCCTCATTCGTGCATATGTTGGTCGAATCAAGTGACTTGGAGCATACTTTACAGCGGAAGCATCGTTTATGGAATTTCAGCTGAAAGAATCCAGCATTAGAATTTAGGTAACTACGGGTAAGCGACAGGCACCTACTAAGAAGTAAGAAGTAACATGAAATGGACGCTGCAATTTTGTAGGACAGTGCTCGCCTCAAAAACTCGAAGGATGAAATGATCCCAGCAATGCTGATTGGCAAAATCGGATTTATTATACGATGGTCAGACTCTTTGCTGCGTTTATCGAACAGGTTTTTCTCCTACATACAGCTCCGACCAGAATATATCGTGCTCTTAAAAAGGAATAACAGGAGTCCAAGAAAAACTCTTTCCAACCCATTCTTCATTCTCCGACTAATGGAGGAAAATGTGTCCCACTGTATTTGACTGTCTTGGGCAACACAGTATGCGAAGATTTAAACAACTCGAAATTCTTGAACGAAAAGTGGAATTACATTTCGTATATATCCAGCCGCTACTCGCCGTAATTGGCTGATCTATAATATCCTTAAACTCAGAGTGACACACAGTATGCTATCATGTTCTTCACTTCGGGGGTGTGAATTGGTCCTGCGCCTTATAATAGGGACAGAACAGCCTATTAATGAGCAACATGGTGGAACCTACATCACCAGGGCAGCCGATGGCCTTTTCGGCGTCGTAAACGCGCTGTCCGCAACGCGGACAACCACCAGACTTCGGACTGACGGTGCGTGGCTGGCCGGCTTTGGGGGCTGGTCTGGAAAAAAAAGAGAAATTGTTTAGGGAATGTCAAAACTTCACTACGGAAGGCAAGAAATAGAGAAAATTGATGGCATCTAGTGCAGAGTCATTCTTTAGGCAGTTTTCACCCAAAACGAAATACAGCTTGGGAGGAATTTCAATATGTGGGAATGACGCTTCATGCCTATAAAGAGTTCAATAGTTGAACTTGCTTGGGTGCCTCTCCACCTGCCCCGGTGGCCTTCTCAGTGTTCAGGATGCCAGCGCCCTGACCAAAACCGTAACCCTTGATTCCAAACTCTCTCCCGTGGCAGGTCTTGCAGTACAGGGTGGTTTCGTGCTGGGCACCTGTTGTGCTGTCTACGGGTTTGTTGCAGGCACCTGCCAAAAACGAAGTTAAGTTGTTAGGGGTATAAAACATAGTATATCAACACTGCTGAAGTAGATACGGTTCAATAAGCACACCCTCCTTCGTGGCGCATGCAGGGAGCCTCGAAGTGCCGCGCACTACTGAATACAAATCCTGGGTTTCCGTAGACCACGACGAATTTGCTGCTACTTTTAAGACCACGTTTATGGCCGTGATAGGTAATACGACTTCGACCAACTTTATTACAATCACACAGAGTTACCTTATGAATTTTCGCTGTCTTTTTCGAAACATTCTGCAAACTGTTCCCGTTTTAGAATTTTGACAAAAAAAAAAACAGGGAAAGTCGACTTAACAAGTTTGCGTTTATCGACAATGTGCCTCTTCTGTACTTGCGTCTCTGTTGATCTATGTAGGTGTATATTGTGCCATTTCAGAATTGAAATCTCATCCAACACTTCACTCGAATAACCATTTAGTCTGATATCAGGATGTAATTTTTTGAAATAAGTAAAATAATGACTGATATTGGGACCGCTGATGTGGATCGGTCCCTGCTTCAAATGAAAGTGTTCGCAAGGCAAACTACCTTAGGACACTTTAATGTCGTAATTCGAAGTGTTCTTCAACTTCGGCATCCCGAAGCAACAGGAGATTTGCCAGGGACTTTAAATTTAGATGGTCTTTTCCTGGATACTTATACACAAAATGTTAGCAAGTCTGCTGTGAACGAAAGTTAAATATGGCAAAACGAGCGCTGTACTTTCAGCGCACAAATACAGGCACATATTCCTTATGTTATCTACTTTTCCGATTCTTTCGCAGCAAGTTGAGCAACATAGCACTTCTAGATTGACCCCGGGAAAGGCAGTTTACATTTTTATGGGCAGTAGGTCATTTTCCACACATATTGAGAGTTAGGGCACATTTAAAGAGAACTATTAGGCTGAATTATTGTTACTTACTGCATTTGAAGCATTGCGGATGGTAAGCCTGGTCACCAAAACGCCGCTCTTCTGCAGCGTATACCGCCTTGCCACAAGCCCCACACTTGGTCGACATGATTTTGACTGCCCATAGCCCACTACGGCGAATTCACATTTCCATCAATGTGTCGAAAGTGCACAGTGCTGAGAGCTGATTGGCTGCGCTAACCTGACACGGATTCTATGGCTGCCTGCGGCAGGCCGCTTTTGATTCTTTTTTACGATGCTCGCAGATGGGAGGACGAAACTGTTACCAGGCCCGATCGATACACCAGTGCGTCCAGTGACGTCATTCCTATTTGGCCAATGACAGCGGCTGAAAGGGGCGATCCGCGTGGCCGTCGCTTAGCCATCCGGCCTGTCCCCTAGCTGTGATTGGCTTGGCAGCCACAGGAGACGCTTTTTTCCCAATTTTGTCCAACGGGGGCCGAACGAATCTTACCGTTTAATGAGTGTTCAGGGAGGCCTTACGGAACTTTGCCGGCTTGGGGACCAACAAACATTTTTGTGGGTTTTCCATACTCGCACAGTTATTAGTGCATCAGAGGGTACTGGGAGCACCAACTAGGACTGATATTCATTGGACCGAAGGTTCGTCTAGGTTTACGCAAATCATCTCTAGCCTGTTTTTAGACATCTCTGGTCCCATTGTCCGCTGAAAACGTGTCCCCGCAGATGGAAGTCTTAGCCATAGGTGGGGGGACTTTGAAAATTGTTTAAATGATCAGTTTCATAACACTCTTCAAGCGTTCGTTGTAATTACAGCTCGAGTTTGAGGTTAATCAATTCGTTTAGACAGAAATAACAAAAATGCCGTTTACAGACATTAAACCGTGTTAGGATTTGGAACGTCTCGAAAGAATGGTCCTCTTAACCATTCCGGAACTGGCTCTTTTATTCCCACAGTAAATAAATCAAAAGGCCCAGGTACAAAGGGTTGAGGTTTCAAGGAGACGGGGACTTTTCAATGGGTTATGACGTATAAAGAATTGCAAATTTGCAAAATGACATTTGAACAGCCAGATGGAGTCGTTTTTCTGCACTTCTCACGTAGATAGGAGGCTTAAAGTGAAATGATGATGCCGTCGAGGAAGAAGAGGAGGCGAACTTAATAAAGATCATTTAATTGCCCTGATACTTGGAAAAGAGGCTACTGTCAGTTATTCAGGGCAGTACTGACGTCACGCCTTACTGTATTCCCGCGTACTGTTTATCATTGAATCAAGTCCATTTTGTAGCTGTTGTCGCAGTATTGACAATTCCACCGCCATTTGCGATGATGTCAACCGCGTTGCCACAAACGGGAGTATAGGGGTGTCCAGGTGTGGGTCCATGTCAAGGTCGTTGTAGGTCGTCTACCTACCACACCCAGCGTCCATCAACCGGCAACAAACTCTCACGTGCCGCTACTCGAAGCTAGGTTAGCCTCGCGGCCAAACACCGGTAACCGCCTCGACCGGCGGGCAGAAGCAGGTAAGGACATCCGGGTATGTGTCCCCCAACACGGTAATTAAATACCCCTCCCTCCTTCTTCCACTCTATCTGCATCCATTCTCTTCCATTTTCTACTTCCCCCTTCTCCCCCCCATCTCCTCCGTCCTCTCCTTCCGCATTCCACCTCCGCCCTCCCCCCATTCTCCTTCCCGCTAATCCTCCCA